TGAGAGAATTCCTTCTGCTGGAATATGCCTCAGGACTGTTTGCTCATCACAGGTACGAAGGCCCCACAAATGGTAGTGACCTTGTGGATGCTAGTGGAGCTTCACTGTCCTCTCTTGGCTGGTTTCGGAGTTGGGAGGATGAGCCTCAGATGGTAATGCCCAGAGCCATAGGGCAACCCTTCTAGCTTTTCAATATCTGCCTTCCTTGGACCTTAGCCTGTGGCAGCTGGGGGTGGATTACTTTGACTACTGCCCGGAGCTGGGCCGCGTTTCCTTGGAGCTGCACATTGAGCGGATTCCTCTCAACACAGAGCAGAAAGCCTTGAAGGTGCTGAGGATTTGTGAGCAACGGCAGATGACTGAACAAGGTGACTGAGCTTCTACCAGCCCGTTCTCTGGTTTGTCTGTGCATCCCTAGGCTGAGCACAGCGCCCCAACACTGTGACAGCTTACCTTTCACCGCCACACTAGAGAGATGGTGTGTGGTACATGCCCAGACACAGGGCCACCATCAAGGAGGGACAGGAGGGCTGGGATTGCCCTTTAAAACCTAGAAAAATCAGCCCTTCACCTTATAGCAAAGATCCACCTGTTCTCACATTCCATGAGATCTGTGGTCAGAGCTGAGAGTCATAGGTGGTGGTTGCTACCAGTAAAGCCTGGAACAGTGGGGAAGCCAGGCAGGAACACAGGGACAGGTGTCAGCAGCCTTGTCCTCATCCTCCCACTACTGCTGAATGAGAAGCACTTGAACACTGAAACCATCTCTTGGGAGCTCATGGTGTTCAACACTGAGAGAAGCAAGGTTGATTCTGTGGTTTCTAGATGGATAGTGGTGGGAATGTTATGTCCATCGTGACTTTTTTTTTTTTTGTCAAGCACAAACACTCAGAAAGTTAGTCTAGCCAGGCATTGGTGGCGCAGGCCTTTGATCCCAGTACTTGGGAGGTAGAGGCAGGTGGATCTCTGTGAGTTCAAGGCCAGCCTGGTGTACAGAGCTAGTTTCCAGGACAGGTTCTAACACAATACAGAGAAACCCTGTGTCTCAAAACAAAAAAAAAAAACAAAAAAAAAAAAAGGAAAGAAAGAAAGAAAGCCAGTGTAGTTGGTGGGTCATCTTTGGTACTGAGCAGAGTGAAGGCAGCAAAATAAAACTATGAGCTGGGTGTTGGTGGTTCACACCTTTAATTCCCAGCACTGGAAGTCAGAGGCAGGCAGATTGAGTTCAAGGCTAGCTTGAGCTACAGAGCAAGTTTGAGGACAGCCAAGGCTACACAGAGAAACCCTGTCTCAAAAAACAAAAGAATAAATGATCAAGTTTCTGGTTCTTCTTGATTAGCTGTATATTGAGTCCACAGTACTTTTGATTGTAATGGGACTGTAGGAAGTCCATGTCTGCCCCAAATGGCTCTTCACGGGAGGGATTATAAAGAAGGTATAAGACTTTGCCTTTTGTCTTCTCTCCTGCAAAGTTCGAAGCATCTGTAAGATCTTGGCCATGAAGGCTGTCCGCAATAATCGTCTGGGCTCAGCCCTTTCTTGGAGCATCCGTGCCAAAGATGCTGCTTTTGCCACACTGGTATCTGACAGGTGGGAATAGTTTTCTGGTTGGCTGGGAGGTCGGAGTTTGGGGAGGGCCTGGTACTGCTGCTCTAACCTTTGGGTTTGGTCCTGCAGATTCCTCAGGGATTACTGTGAGAGAGGCTGCTTTTCTGACCTGGATCTCATTGACAACCTGGGGCCAGCCATGATGCTCAGTGATCGACTGACATTCCTGGGTGAGTCTCTGCATTCTTTTCCCTGAGTATGAGGGGACCATCTTTTTGGATTTCTGTAAGCTACATAGAAACCCATGTACTAGCCTTTACAGGGTTTTGGTAACATTTTATTTTCAAGTAATATCAAACTTAGGGAAATATAGAAATGCCACAAGGATGACGTTTCCCCCCCCCCCCCCCCTTTCTCTGTAGCTTTGGAAGCTGTCCTGGAACTAGCTCTGAAGACCAGGCTAGCCTTGAACTCACAGAGGTCCACCTGCCTCTGCCTCCCGAGAGCTTGGATTAAAGGGAATGACACACTCTTTATAGACACTTTTCAAACTCATTTTTGTTTTTAAGACAGGGTCTCACTGTGTAGCCCTGGCTGTCTTGGAAATCCCTATGTGGACCAGTCTACCCTCCAACATGGAAATGTGGGCTCTCAATAAAATGGCTCAGCAGCTAAGAGCATTGACTGCTGTTCTAGAGGACCCAGGTTCAATTCCCCGAACCTACATGGCAGCTCACAACTGTTTGTAACTCATATTCCAGAGGAATCTGATACAGACACACACACACACACACACACACACACACACACACACACACACACACACACACACACACACACACGAAAATCTGTCTGTCTCAATTAAGGCTGGGACTGTCGCCTAGACAAAGTTTGGAACAGTTTCCATGTCTCATATCCCGTCACACTTCCCCAAAGATTTTCTCATCACTTGTGTGAGCTGGCACTTCACTGCAGGGAGAGAATAACCTCTCCCTCCACTTCATGTATATCACCAGGACTCAGAGTTTTTTAATCTTTTTTTCCCTTTTAAATGTATTTAGAAAAAAATTTAAAATTTACCTTTAGTGCATTGGTGTGTTGCCTGAACTATCTGTGAGGGTGTCAGATCATTGAGTTATAGACAATTCTGAGTAGCCATGAGGGTGATGGGAACTGAACCCAGGTCCTTTGGACAAGCACTCAGTGCTCTAAACTGCTGAGCCATCTCTCCAGCTCCCTTAAATTTATGTGCATTGATGTTCTGCCTGCATGTATATCAGTGTGAGGGTGTCAGATCTTCTGGAACTGGAGTTACAATTATGAGCTGCCATGTAAGTGATAGGAATTGAACTGAGGTTCTCTGGAACAGCTACTGTTGCTCTTAACTGCTGGGCCATCTCTCCAACTCTTTTAATCTGTTTTAATCTTTTTTAATGTTTCCTGTATGGGTATTTTCTGCTTGGGTATATGTCTGCATATGTATGCTTGCAGAAGCCAGAAGAGTTTGTGGGGTCCCATAGGACTGAAGATAGATAATTGTGAACTACTATGTGGATACTGAATACTGAATCCAAATCTTTAAGAAAAGTTAGTATGATAAACCACAGAAACCGCCTTTCTAGTCCTTATCTGATCTCTTATAGTCTATTACAGTGCTGGTGATTCCACAGATTTGGTGTTCCTAAAGGTCTGTCTTTAAATCCTACATTTATTTCCTTTATCTATGACTTGAGACTGCTCTACAAACATGCCAGTGGTGTGTGGAGTTGCAGTTTTCTAAGTATCGGGTGAATGGCGAGGATGTTCAGGTGAACGCACGCCTCTCCTAACAGGGAAGTACCGGGAGTTCCACAGACTGTACGGGGAGAAGCGCTTCGGTGACGCTGCTTCCCTTCTGCTGTCCCTCATGACCTCTCAGATTGCACCCCGTTCTTTCTGGATGACGCTGCTCACAGATGCCCTGCCTCTTTTGGAACAGAAACAGGTAAGGCTTCATCGATCTGAGCAGGGTTTATTCTGTCCTTTGGTCCTCCTTAGCTTGGTTCTGTAGTCATACAGATGCGCATGTGCATGCAAGTTTATTTGGGGCATGAAAGAAAAGCCCAAGTGATGGCTTCTGCTAAAAGCGCTAAGCCTTCCTGGACGGGTGGATGGGAGACCAGGACCACTGCATCCAAAGCATTCTTCCCAGGTCCTTACAAGGCCTTCCCTGAATTCACCCTTGCCTAGCTCAACTCAGGCTCTGCCCCCTAGGTGATCTTTTCATCAGAACAGACATACGAGCTGATGCGCTGCCTAGAAGACTTGGCCTCAGGGAGGCCAGGGTGTGGTGAGCCGGATGCCCAGCGACTCCAGGTCATCTTAACTTTGGGGAGGTGGTTCCATGTTGAAGTGGGAAAGATTTATCTGGGGACTTCCCTCTCCTCTCGTGTGGTCCTGAAACACCCTCATGAACTCATGGGCCTTAGTTATTAACCTGTCCTATTACAGGGTTTCTCTGTGTAACAGTTCTAGCTGTCCTGGAACTCACTCTGTAGACCAGGCTGGCCTCGAGCTCAGAGATCCACCTGCCTCTGCCTCCCGAGTACTGGGACTAAAGGCATGCGCCACCAGTGCCCGGTGACAGCAATGTTTAGGAGCAGGTGGGATGGTTCTAGTCTTCCTATCCCTTGCCATCTACTGCAGAGCTACCCATAGTACACTGGTCTTACTCTCTTGGAAGCCTTTGAGAATGCTGCCTGTTTGCCTCACTTTGCCTTTCTGCTCTTAGGATGACGACATAGAGACCACCAAGGTGGAGATGCTGAGACTGGCTCTTGCCCGGAATCTTGCCCGGGCAATTATACGAGAAGGCTCACTGGAAGGTTCCTGAGATAAGCTGAGGACAGTTGCAGTCTAGTACCTTTGTATGGCAATGTAAATAGATTTTAAAGAATAAATTCTTTTGCAAATATAGTCTGACAAAAAAGAAATTTCTTTTAACTAAGATTTTTAAGACAGGGTTTCTCTTGTGTTGCCCTGTCTGTCCTGGAACTCTGTAGACAATGCTGGCCTGGAACTCACAAAGATCTGTCTACCTCTGCCTCCTGAGTGCTGGGATTAAAAGTGTGTACCACCACTGCCCGGTTGACCAAGGAGTTTTTAATCGTCTATCCTGAACCTAAAAGAGCAAAAGTGAACAGATGTTCTGTTTTTGAGATGGATATCGCCACACTTGACAGGCTGGCTGTGTCCAGCAGCATGCTGTCACACCTGGCTCAGGAGCCCACTACTAGAGAATGGTCTCTAGAGCACCACAGGACTAATGCATGCAGTGTCGTCCCCCAAATGAAACATCTGGCAGCTTTTCCCTGAGGTCTTGTCCCCCTCAGCCAGTGACCTGAAACAGTCCTTGTACCTTCTTTGGTTATTGCTGAGACCCGTTTGGAACTCACACACATCGTCTTCCAGTATTGAAGGGCTCCAAACTGGGTGAGAATGGTTTTATTTCACATGCAGCAAAACAAGGGGCAGGTGGCATCCAGCACAGCCGCTGACCACAAAGCAGTGACTCAGTAGCAGTGAGCAGCACTCGTAATTTAAACATGTAAGTGTTAATAAGGATATGTATCCAAAGTAACCCCACAGACATTCCAGGGCTGAAGTAAACCAGTCCCTGGAAAGCTCTTGGATTTACTCTATTACCAGGGAAAATGATTCTTTTGACCTGTCCTAAGGAAACTGTAGAGCCTGCTAGCTAAGGACAGTCAGTAGTGCGGAGATAGGTCAGATGACCTTTAGACAGAGCAAGGGTTTTCCCAAGGTGAGGTGGGACCAAGGAATAAGGTTGTGCCACCTTCCTTTTCCCAGGCAGCAGAGAGCTGAGCCCATTAGATTCTATTTACCTTTCCCACGCTTCTATGGCAGCCGAGTTCCCTGTTGTCTTGCAGCTTAAAGTCTCTGGCCTGGAGCCGCTGGGACGTGCTAAGCGAGCAGAGCACTGTTAAAGCAATAGGGTCTGGTAATTCAGGTCAGTCTAGCCCCTCATCTCATCACTTCCAGACCCAGCATATCGCTGACAGTGCCTCAGTAGCGGGGGGAAAGTAGGTGTTTTGGTGCAGCACAACAGGACGAAATCTAGTGCAATGTGTGTGACCCTGAGACTTCCTGGGTCCAACCATGTGGCAGGGAAAGGGAGTGACCAACGCAGGAGAGTGCAGAGTGGCAGCAGGTGTCTCCCTTCATGGTTAAGGGAGCATAGCAGTTTATTTCATGCCAAGCAAGAGGTAGTGAGTAGGATGTCCTGTTCCACTGCTGGGGGTATGCCTTTCCCAGAATGCCACAGTACCTGCTTCTGAAGGGAAACCCACACTCAACCCAGCTGAGGCTGTCAGGCAGTGTTCCCTGTCCTGCTGAGATGTCCATAGGACACAACCCGCCACTGTCAGGACCAGCGCCTCACTCACTCAGCAGCCACTTCCGGTGCTGCTGCCTACAGAAAACAGAGTGAAGACCACAGTACTCCGGAGTCTCTCTGGGCCACCGCTGCCCACTGTGGCTCAGGTGGCGACAGTGCCTACTAGCCATGAAGCATGAACACTGACAGGAAGTGTCTCCTGTGCCATGCCTCTTCAGGGTGTAAAGATGCAGTTTTTGAGGGGTTGGAAAGGTGCTCTTCAGAGCCCTCTCCCTCATATTAAGGATCAGAAGTCAGTAAAAAAGGGAAAACCTATTCTAGGCCCCAAATCCACCATCCCAGGAGCCAGTGAAGCCGCAGGCCACTCCCTACCCACACAGTATGGCCAGTTCAAGTCACACAGGCAGATAAAACAGGTCCTTTTAGGGGCCCAAGAAGAGATGATCACAGCAGCGGCTTGGCTCCTGACAAATGTCCAAGCTATAAACACTGTCCGGGATGTATAGTGGCTGGACTAGCCAGAGCTTGTCTCACGTTGCCTGTCTTCAAAGTAGAGATGACAGCATTTGCTGGAGTCATAGGTTCCCCCACTGCTCCACAGGAGGAAACTGGTCCACTTCACCCAGTTCTGTGCTCGGCTGATCCCCCAGAGCAAAGGTCAGCTTATACCGAAGCCGCACCTTCTCCTATAATAGAGGACTGCAGGTGAGAACCCGTCCAAGAGTTCCCTCTGCAGGACACTCTCAACTCTGCAGGAGGGATGCACCTTGTTCACCCATGTCCACCCAGGCTCAGTCCCTTAACCTGGGACAGCAGCGCCCCAGGTGGCCACTGTGGATTCTCCCATGCTTACCTTCATTGGATTAGCCAGCAGCATGACCTGGGTAATGGCTGCAGGTGGCTGGATGGGACTAAATGGTGAAAGTTCTGTTCCAGAGGGTGGCTGCAACTTCACTTTCATTGACTGAAGATAAAAAGAAGATCCTTTAAAACAATGGCCCGGGTGTCTGAGAGGGACCAACTGCTGGTCACTGAAAGGTGGTCAGCACAGTAGGTCCTAGATAAGGGAGGCAAGAATACCTTGGGCACCGCGGCCTGCAACACAATGCTCCTGACTGGCAAGGGAGCTGTGTTCAGCATGGACACTACCACCACCAGCACATCAGGCCGTCCTGGAGGACACTCCTTAGCAAAGTGGAAAAGGATGCGGAAGCCATTCTTATCATAGGCTGTCACGGGAAGGGCGCTGCCTGCAAGAAAGCGTCCCATGAGTGAGTGTGATGGGGGAATGCCAGAGGGAGCCCAGAGCCCCAGTGCTGCTTCAGTGAAGCCAAGTGGGACGGGAAAGCCAGTGTGGTGAACGGTGCTCCCCCACGGGCCCAAGGTGACACAGGTGCTACAAGAAGCTGAGATAGAGCCTCACACGCCTTTAATCCCAGCATTAGGGAGGCAGAGGCACGCAGATCTCTGAGTTCAAGGCCAGCCTGGTCTTAAGATGAGTCCCAGGACAGCCAGGGCTACACACAGAATAACCCTGTCTTGAGGGGTGGGGGGAGGAAGAAGGCTGAGATAGGCAGAGATGGCTTAGTGATCAAGAGCACTTGCTGTCTGCAGAGGATGCAGTTTCCCAGTCCCCACATTGGGCAGCTCACAAGTCCTTGTCACTCTAGTATCAGGAGGTCTGACACCCTCTCTGACCCTGTCAGAAGCTGCACATAGATATACTGAGGCACACAAACATAAGAAACAAAGACACAGTCTTTAAAAAACGAGACAGAAGGCAAGTAGACCCTTTAAGCACAAGTGACCCTGCAGACCACACACCTACAAACACATGAGGTCCACCGGCCGTCTCCAAGACTTACTAGGCTTGATCGATTCCAGGGGCACATGGACACTGGCCAGGGAGAGCTCTGGGGCCCTCAGAGGGCTTCCTTGGGATTGGAAGGCTGGTGATTGAAAGAGTGGGCTTCCAGGCCCTGTGGAGAAGGGCAGGAGAGGCCTGGCTGGGGCAGAGGTGGGAATCAGTGGGGAGGCTGTGGTCCCAGCAGAGAAGGAAGAAACAGGGTTCACCAAGCCTGAGGTCCTGGGGGAGAAGAACAGAAGACAAGTCAGAGGGCAGGCAGGGACTTCTGGACAATCCCTCAACCAAGGCCAGTCCCTTGCTACTCCAGGACACCAGCTTCCAGCCTGATAACAGGACCAAAAGGGATCCCCATGCCCCATCCTCTGGAGCCTCCCTTTTGACCTGCACATGACACTCCACCCTCAGCCACCCTCTTCTCCCATCCATTACACTTTGGCCTCTTCCAGAAGCTGATCAAGGGCATCTAGGCGGTGCGAGGTGCTGTCACCCAGTGCTGAGCTGTGGTACTCTGGGGCTGCAGGCTCAGCCTTTGGAACCGAGGCTGGGGCAGGTCCAGAAGAGAACATGAAGGAACCAGTACTGGGGGCTGGGAAAGGAGCAGGCAGCGGAGCTTGGGACGTACTTGAGGTAGAAACTGGGGGAGGGAGCAGGGATCCATCTGAAGGGCAGCAAGCTGCAGACACTGGCCTGGGGTTGAAGAAGTCCAGATCTGATGATGGTTCATTCTGTACAACAGAAACAGCCAACGAGCAAAGGTTTAGGAGGGGCTGCACCAATCCAACAGTTCATAACCCACCAGGCCCTTCTGAGGTAACCCCATCAAGATCCACAGAACTAAATGTTGGGGATCAACCCTCAGAGGCAGCATGTCCCACCTACAGTGGACAGAGCTCTAAGAATACAAGGAGCTCTGGCTCTAGCAAAGTACAGCCAGACACAGACTAAGTAGCAAGAGAGCTTTGGTCCTTGAGCACTTCAGTGACGTAGCCATGCTGTGCCTCTACCTGGAACAGGTGCCACTGACTATTTCCAGCTGACTCTTTGGAAGGAGTGGGGGCTGGGTCAGTAAGGCCTAAGAACACAAAAGAAAACTCAGTGAGATGAGATCCTGGGCTGAGGCAGCAACCTCCCCCACTCCCCCAAGAAATGGTCACTTGATAAGACAAGAGACTGGATGAATGGGTAAGGAGAAAGTATTCCCTTACAGCTAAACTGGGAAGTAAACCCATTTCCAGCCTTTACAGGAAACCTCAGGGCCTCCCAGGAAGAGGTGAGCTGTACCAGAGCCCACCATGTTCACCCTGCAATCCACAGTGGCCTCTGGAACTTGATAAAGCATACTAGAGGCCCATTAGGCCTGGTGCACATGCCCTCCTTCCGCTAATACCGCCCATGCACATACCCAAGCAGAGCAGCTCCTCGTCTAGCAAGGACAGGGCATTGCTTGTGCTGTCAGGCCCTTGGGGAGCGTCAGCCTGGCTGGATGAACGGCTTCGTGGAGGCCCAGAGGTCTGGGGGGGCGGGGGGAGGATAGGGATGCCTGAGGTGGGCGGTGCAGGTGCTGGGGCCAACACTGGGGATGAGCTGCAGGGAGTGTCCAACTCAGCAAGGTCGATGAGGGCGCCTTGGTGACTGCAGTGGTCATTTCCTGGATGAGTTGACACAAGAGGAGCAAGAACATTCAATGTGAATCTTGTGCCTATGTAGCAGGACACAAGACCCTGGGTACAGACACTACGACTTTAGTTTCTGGCCCAAATCAGTAGCATTTCTTCTGGGGAAACGGAAAACCAGGCTTGAGAAGGCAGGCACAGAAATCTCAGTGCACATCTCCTGCCTCAGGGAAGTAAAAGACCTTTTGAAAAGGTTGGGAATTCCCTCAGGCCCTGAGAGCTGCCACATATGGATCAGTAGGCAGGACTTGGGGCTGGTCTGGAGGATTCCAGAAGGGGCTTCATAATAGATACATACCTTCAGAGTCAGGCATGGCCGAGGTGGTCACCTCACCATTGACGATCTGCCCTTCAATAATTGTCTTGTAGGAATTGATGACCCTGGAGAGGTTGTCACTGGCCTGCAGGATGTCCCCTAGAGCAAAAGAGACCCCTCACTGTGTGGGCTGTGACAACTCTCACACATACCCAGACTCTTGACTCGCCCTTGCCCAGTGCTCCTTTACACTCACCTAAACCGCTGTCATTGTCTTCTGTCTCACTGGCTAGTTTGAATAACGTCCGTCTCTTGTTCTCACAACGGTCAAACAGCTCCTGAGAGAGACCCAGACATAGTAATCAACTTCAGAGTCCTAAGGAGTCATCAAGACATAATAATGAACTTCAGAGTCCTAAGAAGTCAACAACTCCATGTGGGTTGCCCCTACAAACCACAGTCACTGGCAAGCTGGGACCAGAACAGAGCATTCACCTTTGTGTGGTCAATATCCACTATACACTGTCACCCAAGTCCTGTATAACAACTCAGAGTCACTCAGATGGTAGATGAGATGTGTGCCTCAGAAGCCACAGCCTAATGCAATCATGTTAATCAACATCAGGGTCTCAAGGAAGTCTCCCACATGTGTCCCCAAGGCTTAAAGGCAGAGGAGAGTACGAGTGAGCACCTAGGACGTGATCTCTGGAGTCACAGGAAAGCACTTGCACCAGGAGCGTCACCTGTGTAACACGAGGACACTGCCTCCACGAGCTCAAAAAGCAAGCATGTCCTCACCAGTACAAGACCCACTCGGGGCAGACAATGTGAGCAGTGAGCTCACAGCAGCTTACCTTCATGAGCTCTTTGTCAGCCTCCGACGAGTACTCTTGGCTGTAGTGAAGAAGCATCTCATGGAGCAGCTTGACATTGTTGTTAACTTCCTCCAACGTGTGCAGGCGCTTGGTCGCCTTCTGGATTCGTGCCTCATCCTGCCTCAGCCAAGAGGGTGCAGGAAAAAGCAAGTTCACCTCGCCTGTCTTTTGACCACCGGGCAGGGCTCATTCCTTACCCAACAGCACAAGGGCAGAGGCCAAGCCTCAGAGCTCTGCTTAGTGTGTTTCCTAGGGCTACAGGCCTCAGACTAACCCCAAGCTGTCCTTTTACAGTGACAACTCCCACTTCCGCTATTCACACCCTCCACTCCTCGCTGCTTTCTCCCACACAAGATACAAGCCTCCTAAACTCACTCCAGGTCAGGGCTGGTGCAGGGTGAACAAGACAGGCCTAAGATCTCAGGGGAAGGACTTCTGCTCTGTGGTCACATGCTTCTGTGCCCCATGCCCAGAGGACCAGGGCCCACTCACTTCCTTCACCATGGACTTGATGAGTTTGTTGGCTTCTTGCAGATCATCTGGGTTCTTGCTTTTCAGCAGCTTCGCTAAAAGCTGGAAGAGAGAGTGTCTAAAGTGACGGAAAGGTAGCATGTGCACAGCCCTACTGGACAGAGCAGAAGATACTGGAGCTCTCTGCAATAGCAAGCCACAGTGTTTCAATGTTTGGTAGGGCAGCTCAAGCCTACAACACCACCACTCAGGAGAACGAGGCAGAAACACATCATGTTCAAGGTCGGCTTAGGCTACAGTGAGATACTGTCTCAAAACATCAAAAACAAAGGCCACCCACTGGCACACACATTCACGCTGTTACTGCCACCGGTCATCTATAAGAACTTCAGGTCCAAGATTACTTTACCTTGGATTTCTCCTCATCATCAAAAACAGGGTTTTTGGGACGAGGTGGGGGAGAGGGGATCAGTGTTCTGTCCATGGGGATGGCGGGGTCCGACTGCACTATACCTGAAGAGAAACAGATGGCAGAGCACGTGCTCAGGCAATGTTACCTTGTCCTTCATACACCAAGGGCCAAATCCTTATGATGGCAGGAAAAAGAACAGGCTACTCTCATCGCAACCTATTAAAATACCAGCTGAGCCCTCTTGGCAAATCCACTCTACAGGAAGGGAAGGGCAGGACCCTGGGGACCCCCAACATTCCTTTCTCTTCTTTGCCTTGACCAGCATTCAGTGCCACCCTGAGGCTAATGGAGAAGTAAACACATACCTTGTCTCTTCAACATATGGTAGGCATCTTTGATCTTTGCTTCTTCCGGCAAGGCCAGTGTCCAGCTAAAAAGCAACTCGATGACCTTAGTCTTCACCTTTTCAGACACCCTGTCTCCCAAGTACTAGGAGGTAAAATGAAGTGAGAGTCTAATAGCAGAGACACTGAGAAAGAACTGCTGTCTTCACATCGTGTTCCACCTCATTCTAGTTCACAAGCCCACTTAAGCAAACCCAGCAGACTCGACAGTGTGATGGAGCGAGATGGGAGCAACAGGGCGTGCAGCCAGAGCAGGGCCAAGATCTTACCCCTGAGCTTCCATGCCAAAGCTGCCTCAGACATTAAACAGGGGGGAGGGGAACCTGGAGAGGTGGCTCAAAGGTTAAGAGCACCAGCTGCTCTTCCAGAGGTCCTGAGTTCAATTCCCAGCAACCACATGGTGGCTCACAACCATCTAGGAGATCTGGTGCCCTCTTCTGGTGTGCAGGAAGAACACTGTATACATAATAATAATATTTTAAAAAGGGGGTATGTAGTAAAGATTTATTCTTATTTATGTATATGAGTGTGCAGCACATGTATGTTGGTGCCTGTAGAAGCCACAAGTTGGTGTTGGATGCCCTCTAATTTAGAATTACAGGCATTTATGAGCCATCCAATGTCAGTGCTAAGAATTGAACACGGGTCCTCTAGGATTGTAGTAAGCACTCTTAACCAATAAGCTATGTCTGCAGCCCGATAACGACACTTTTTTTTTTTTTTAAAGATTTATTTTATGTATATGAGTGCTGCCCTGTCTGCATGTACACCTGCACACCAGATGACATCAGATCTCACTACAGAGGGTTGTGAGTCACCATGTGGTTGCTGGGAATTGAACTCAGAACCTCTGGAAGAGCAGCCAGTGCTCTTAACCTCTGAGCCATCTCTGCAGCCCCCCATAACCACATTTTTCTTGAAGGTTCTGAGAATGCCACCAACATGAGAAATGGCTCCCTCTGTCTAGAGCTATCCAGAAGACACAGGCCAACAGAGCAAATAAGCAAGACTGTGTACCCGATGTAGGCTAGGAACACAGAATACTAACTGTCTACACTCCCTGGACACATACAGCCACATTTATGCTGGTAGTCTATCAGGAGGCTGCTCAGACCTCAGACTGGGTACCTCAAGGAACCAGGCTTGCAAGTACAGGGCACAGCGTCATCTCTGTGAAGATGTTAAATGACCTGGAAAGCCAATAAGGTAGGAGATGGGAACAAAGGAAATTGCTACCAACTGACCTTTGGAGAGACGACTTTGATTAATTCATTCAAAAATCGGAACTTCCCCACTTCATTGTGAAATCTCCGCCCACAGTTCTTCATGCATGCCTCCAGCACCTGCAGCCACACAGAGAGGCAGTCTGTGATGGGACCATGGCACTTGAGCCCCTAGCTCCACTCAGTATTAAGGACGCTGTCCTAGGTGAAGGGCTCTACTGTGTGAAATGGTGCACTCTCCCTTGGGAACAGAGGCTAAGCCACAGAACCACCCACCACAAACCCTTCCTTCTAATGGCATACTCTGCGGGGATGCTACACAGGGCTAGAGTAGGAAACCAAGACAGTTTGCTGCCAGACCTGGAAGGGGCCTTCCTTAAAGTTACGGATTCAGAACCTCAGGGAGAAAACCAAGTTCCCAGGAGAGAGTCCTCCCACAGGCTGACCTTTTTATGGAGGTGGGAGATGTTTAAATCCACTGCCTTTTGTTTAGATGATGGGACATCCCCGCCTCCTTTTGTTTTGCACGTCACTATTCTGCTTGGGGGCCCTGTCATTCATGCAGCTTACTTGTGGCAGTGTCCAGTCATGAACAGTGTTTGCAGGCCAAGTTAACCTCAGGCACCCTTTCCTGGATGAAGCTCTGATACAGGGACCCTAACAAGCCTGGGACTAGCAATCAGTCTTGGCTTAGGCTGGCTGGCCAATCTCTGGCTTTTATGTGGGTTTCAGGGATTGAACTCAGGTCTTCATGCTTGCACAGCACTTACCAACTAAACCATCACCCTTGGCCCCTGGGTTTTCTTCTCTGCTTTTTTTTTGAGGCAGGCTGGTCTAGAACTCAGAGATCTGCCTGCCTCTGTCTACTGGGTGCTGGGATTAAGTGTTCCACAACAAATGCTGGGATTAAAAAACGTGATAAAAAGCAGTGGCTTCTGGTTTTTTTTTTTTTTTTTTTTTTGTTGTTGTTGTTGTTGTTGTTGTTGTTTTTTGTGTGTGTGTGTGTGTGTGTTTTTCAAGACAGGGTTTCTTGGTACAACCTTGGCTGTCCTGGAAGTCACTCTGTGCTGTCCTTGAACTCACAGAGCTCCTCCTGCCTCTGCCTCCCAAGTGCTGAGATCAAAGGCGTGAGCCACCACTGCTTGACACTTTATTTCTTTTTTAAATAAACACACATTGTATGTGTACAGGTGTTGGCCTGCTGTGTATCTGCGCACCACATGTACAGTGCTACAGGAGCCCAGAACAGAGCACTGGATGCCGAGCCTCGAATTACAAACGGTTATTATATGCTTCCACGTGGGGGCTTGGAATTGAACCCAGGTCCTCTGGAAGATCAGCCCACACTCCTAACCTCTGACCCAACTCTCCAGCTCCTTGGGGTTTGTTTCTTTAAAGCAAGGTCTCTCAATTGCAGCCTACCTGACATTTTAGACTAGCCACTCTTTGCTCTGGAGTTGTCCTATGCATTTCAGGGTATATAGCCGCACCCCTGGCTGCCACTCTCCAGATGCCAGCAGTATTATCATATTACCCCCCAACAATAAAAGTATCCCCACACACTATCAAATATCCTCTGGAGGCCAACACTGCCTCCCTGCACACGTTTGTAGTATTAACACTTTACATTCAGAGTTGGAGACAGAAGGATTGAGACATCTCAGAAAACAAAACTAAAAATCAACCAAAGAAAGACCTTGCTTGTCCTTGAAAATCAAGGGTGTAGAGTTGGGTGGCGGCGGCACACGCTTTTAATTCCAGGACTCAGGAGGCAGAGGTAGATGATCTCTGAGTGCCTGAGGCCAGCCTGGTCACAAAGTGAGTTCCAGGTCAGCCAGAGCTGTTACACAGAGAAATCCTGTCCTGAAAAACCAACACCCTGTCCCTGCCCCCCCAATCACTGTTGTAAGTAAAGGTCTTGGCTTCATAAAGAACCTCCACACCACTGTCGTTCTGCATCTCTAGGACCCAAATGAAGTCAGGGTTGGAAAGGACCCCAGAGCCCTCTAAACGTGGCTGTTGTCTGGGAAGCAAGGAAGCCCTTGAATGCTCCCCTCACTAACAAACACTCAATTCTGCCCCTGTGGCTGTGACTATCAGCACAGCTTCACTAGTACAGGCAACATCTGCAGCTAGGCCACAAACTATCTGCCAGGCTTTTATTTGGCTGGCTGACTCTTTTTTGTTTTTTGTGACATGGTTTCTCGATGCAGTGCTGGGCGGTCTGGAACTTATTTCGCAGACCAGGCTGGTCTTGAACTACAGATCTAAGAACTACAGGTGTACTACTAGGTCCTCTCTGAGCGCTGGACTGGAATGCAGGTCCTGCCTCTGGAATCCCCCAGTCACCTGTGCAGCCTCCGTGTCTAGAGGCATGCACAGCTGACTGACAGATTCCGAATATGCCCAACCTGTATCAGGGACTTTCTCCTGGACTTTGAGTAAGAACCTGATTACCACCGATGGCCTAATGAGTGTATGAAGAAAGACCCGAGAAAGCGAACATCCACTGATTTCACCTCCGACAGTAAAGACCTACCGTGAGGGCCTGCACTGCCTCCCATTCCTGTGGAGACTGGATCTTGTGGGCCAGGAGACGGACAGCGATCTGGGGCCTGGTAGACAAATACACTACAGTCAGTCTGCAGGTGGAGGACAGTCCAGGTTTGGGTCCTCTCTCTCACTGGACTCACCCTTCAAGCTCTTTGTTGATTTGATCACAGAAGCCAATGATATATTCCCAGTCTTCCTGGCGGTTAGAAGGATTGGTAGCTTTATCTTGAGATACAACACAGAGGAAAACTGTTAGAAAAACAACTCACAACATGAGGTTGTCTTCACACAGTTTTACTATTTTAAACACAGTAAGTCTGCTTCCAAATTTGTGTCATAAGGATGCCTCCACAGTTCAGACAGAAAACAAGTATAAACCCCACTTTCTGCCTAATGCTTTGGAAGAAGCAATAAAAAGGTGAGTAAGCAGCCAGGCAGTGGTGGTGCATGCCTTTAATCCCAGCACTGGGGAGGTAGAAGCAGGCAGATTTCTATGAGTTCAAAGGTTAGCCTGGCCTACAAAGTGAGTTCCAGGATAGCCAGAGATACACACAAAGAAACCTTGCCCCTCAAAACCAAAATAAACAAATAAATAAAGATAAAAAAATATAACGGAGCTTAAGACTAGACTGGAATCCAAAGAACAAACACAAACATGAATGATGGGAGTTCTCACTCACGATCATGAAACACTACACACCTACTGCAAATAAATGGAGCCGAGTGCTCAGCAGAGCCAAAAAGTGTCTCCTGAGAAGCTGAAGACAGGCTCAGTTAGGTCAAAAATAAATAACCTAACCTTTCCTAATGCTTTGGGTTTCTGAAGTTGCACAGGACCCTCTACAAATATATCTGGCTCTAATTAAACACCTACCAATCTTGTGTGGTCTTCCCCTGCGCAGAGTTCAGCACCTGTTAAATGGCCTTCCATGACTGAGTGTAGACAAATGCCAAGAGCATTAGGAGGACTTGTAGACATCCCAGCACTAAATGTAAAGCTACCAACACTTGCTTTGGCCTACTTCCCTGCTACTTTGGCATCTGTGCTAAAGGAAGATGGCTCAGCTGAGGGTGGTGAATTGAGATCTGATGCAACAACATCTGAATTCTGTTGTTTATATTCAGGGCTTCACGCTCAGACAAAAGAGAAAGCCAGAGTCACACATCTACTCAAACAGTTTTGATCCTCTGCAGTGACAGACCTTCCACAGTACGTGGACTAACCTCCTAAGTTTCTAGATGTTGGTTCTAAATACGGCTGCTTTCTTTTTTACATTTATTTATCTGGAGGGTGGGATGGGGCTCAGGTTCTGTGAATGGAAGTCAGTGGGACAAGTATAGGAAATAATTCTCTCCTTTTATCATCTGAGAACCGAGTGAGCCATCTCACCCCTACCCCCACCCCCTTACTAAGATTCTCATTCTGTAGCCAAGGCTGGTCTTGAACTCACAATGATCCTCTTACCTTGGCATCTCAAGTACTAAAATTGTAGACATGCAGCACCACACCAAGCTGTGTTTTTGTGGTTTTTGTTTTTTATTTTTCCAGACAGAGTTTCTCTGCAGCTTTGGCACCTGTCCTGGAACTCAATCTGTAGACCAGGCTGGCCTCAAACTCACAAAGATCCGTCTACCTGTGCTGGCATCAAGGGTATGTGTCGCCATCACCCACCTTGTTTCACATTTTTCTTTCATATTGGATCACTACAAATTTTATTTAGAAACCCATCTTTTTTTTTGTTGTTTTTTTTTTTAAACAGTTTTTTTTTTAAAGGTTTATTTATTATGTAGACAGTATTCTGTCTGCATGTGTGCCTGCAGGCCAAAAGAGGGCACCAGATCTCATTACAGAAGGTTGAGAGCCACCATGTGGTTGCTGGGAATTGAACTCAGAACCTCTGGAAAAGCAGGCAGTATTCTTAACCTCTGAGCCATCTCTCCAGACCTGTTTTTGTTTTTTAAATAATAACAATATGACTTGGCTTGTCAATCAAATGTTTCATAATTAAAAAAAAAAAAAGGAAAAAAATGCTGGGTGTGGTGGTGCATGGATTTAATCCCAGCACTCAGGAGAAAGAGACAGGTAGATCTTTGTGAGTTTGAGGTTAGCCTGGTCTACAGAGTGAGTTCCAGGACAGCCAGGGCTACACAGAGAAATCCTGTCATGGGAAAAATAAGACTGGGGATATAGTTCAGTAGTAGAAGACTTGCCTTGCATGCACAAGGCTGTTGGTTCAATGGCCAATACCAATAATGTCATGGCAGTGGATGCCTCTAATCTCAACTCTTATAAAACTGAAGCAGAAGGCCAGGCATCCCTGGCACCTTGGGTTACGTAGTCCCCCACCCACAAGTCAGCAACATGAGGGCATCTGAGCAGAGGGCTTCCTAGACTGGAGCTGGAGCTTCCTGACAGCAGTTCTGGTCTGGCTTCAGCAGGAACACTCTCGAGGCTAAAGTTTGTATTCACAAAGTGATGCCTTATGGCACAGGCTTGTGTGGCAGCCTTCTTGGAGGAGGTGTGTTACTGTAGGCAGGCTCTGAGGTTTAAAAAGCCCACACCATTCCTTAGCCCTCTCTGCCTCACAGTCGTGTGTCAAGATATAAACTGGCAGCCACTGCTCCAGCGCCAAGCCCGCCCGCCTGCCTGCCTGCAGCCATGCTCCCACCATGATGGTCACAGGCTCACCCTGAGAAACTGGAAGTCTCAAGTTAACATTGCCTTCTACAAGTTGCCTTGGTCATGGTATCTTAGCCAGGGCAATGGAAAAATCACCAAAATAGCCAGCAAACTCAATGTTAGGCTTGGGAAGGTGAAGGACAATTCCAAGTACACTTATCTCAAAGTAAAGAGAGAACACAGTTGAGAGCAACTGAGCGGCAGAGGGCCTGCCTACCATATGGGAGGTCCTAGCCTCAACGCCAGGAACACACAGTTTGTAAAAGTTTATATTTAGAGGAAAGGAACATGGACGACCTTGACCCCGATGCCCCTGCCTCTGCTCCCAAGTGCTGGCATTACATATGTGTGCCACCAAACTTGAAAGATAATTGGCAGGACCTTCCAAATCATATCAGTGTCCATTTGATATGAAATGGTTGGTGGGGGATGGAGAGATGGCTCAGAGGTTAAGAGCACTGGCTGCTCTTCTAGAGGATCTGGGTTCAATTCCCAGCGCCCACATACAGCTCACAACTGTCTGTAACTCAAAGCTCTGACACCGTCACACAGAGAGACATGCAGGCAAAACAGCAATGCACATAAAATAAAATTAAAACAAATGGTTGGTGATCCTACACTAATCACAAGACAACACTAGTCATCACAGAGGTCTCCTGGCCCAGGTGTGACTCTTCTCAAGCATCTGTGTGGCTTTGCTACACTAATCCCTGTCATTTGGTATGCCCCAAGTTTTCACAAGAAACCAAGAAGCTACAGGACTCAAGTAAACTTGACACCGAGAAGCCAGACCCATGCCCAATGCTTCTGTTAGAGACACAAAGCTTGCACTGTGGACAATGGGAAAACCATCTTCCAAACTGTAATGTAAGGACTCTTCCCACAGTCTACAAAGGAAACTCTTTCCAAGCTTGTCGGGCTCCTAAAGCATGGCTGCCTCCTTTTCATTGAGTGCAGGGACACTGCACATGGCACAGAATGCTCTGAGCAGACACAGTGCTGCTTCCCAGTGTTGGCAGCTCAGTAGGCACACCCATGGCCCACAGCAACTAGAAAAACTATTGAGGGTGACTCCAGCTCTCCAAGTGCCCGCCACTTCCACCCACTGCACCCACGTTCTCCCTCATCTGGCAGAGGTGCCAATGGAGTTCTCCCTGCAGCCCTGGCCTGGAACCACCCATCTGGGCCCTCCTGACACAAGGTCTGTCTACTTTGGCTCTATTGAAAGCCTCATTCTCTGCTGCTTCCATCCCTCCAGGGTTCCTACTCTCCGTTTTTTAGCCCAACCGCCACTAACCGACTCCCACAGGACGCCAGAGACAGAGATGGAAACAAGCAGCCTTGACGCCTCAAACTCAAACGTGGTATGGCCTCTCCAAGAAGTCAGGCTGCACACAACAATGACTAGAAATAAGCAGACCCAAGAGTCAACCTGCACTGTGTCTTGAACCAAAGGAGAAATGGACACAGTTGCCTTGTTTTTCAAGCACCATGGGAAAATAAATTGCTACAACCATTGCAGTTGTCTGAGATGCTTCAAGCTCTCAGGGTCTCAAAAACAAGACACTGGAGGAGTTACAGGCAGGCCCTTGAGGAAACATGAGGAAGAGACTGGCATATAAACAAGGCTACAATTGTGTTACTTTAATACACAAATAAGCCTGTGAACCCATCACCTCCCCTTACTGACTTCCCTATTTCTACATGCAGTGCCACTATTCAAGAACCCCAGGACTGAAACTACTGTTGGTCCCTTCCCTTGCCTTTCCCATTCCTGGCAATCCTGGAATTGCTTTTATTTTTTTATTTTTCAATTTTTATTACATGCTTATTTATTGTACATGTGGGGAGGGGGTAGGAGGGGGGATGTGTGGTATGTCAAAGTGTGAAGGTTAAATGACAACTTGTGGGAGTTGGTCCTCTCTTTCACCATGCTGTCCCCTGGGATCAAACTCAGATCTAACTAAGGCTTGGTGGCATGTGCTCTTCCTGTTGAGCCGTCTCGTGGCTTCTGGAGTCACTTTCCTAATCCAAGTCTTTCTAAATCTCTTTCTCTTCCCTACCCCAACTTCTTGCTCCTCCCAGAGCTTCTCTTCTAGCCCGTTTCCCTCCTCTTCTCTTAGCACACATAGGGTTGGGTTTTTCTCTCCTCCGCATTTACATGGTCCTACTGGTTGAACCCAAGTGTAGCCAGGCTTGCACAGTAAGCATTCTTACTTGCTGAACCACTCACCAATGCTGTTTTTGTATGTTTTTTTGGAAACAGAGTCTCACTCTGTAACCCTTAATGGAACTAACTCTCTATGCATCTAGCTGGTCTCAAATTTGGGGAGGGCCTCCCACCTCAACCTCCAAGTGCTGGGGAAACAGATTTGAGCTACCACTCCTGGCTTGTTCCCGTCAATCCCTAACAGGATAGTTTCATCAGGTATAAGAGAAATGGGAGCCTGCTAACTGACAATACTTAAAACACCTCGGGCAGGAATATCCAGTGTCTCAGAATTTGGCCCTAACTTCCCCTATACTACTATAGTTGTTTATCTGCCCAACCCAAACACCTGCTACTCTGCGTTCTATTCATCATCACCCAGCATTCTTAGGGCTGTTTCCAATCTTTAAGGCCCAGCTTGATGCTGTCTTCTCATTTCCTGTCTTAGGTCATTCTCCCCTTCCCCTTCCCTGATTACCTAAAGAAACTTCAGTACCGAACGGTTCCACTTAAGAGTCTTTGTTTGCCAATTTCTACATTCTGACATCATGCCCACCGGATGGAAAGCAGAGACCACTTGAATTCCCTGTGCCTTTCTGCTTTAGTTCTGTCTCTGTAAGATGGTGTAGAACCCAGTGCCTTGTACAAGTAAAAGCTCTATGACAAGGCAACCGTTTAAACCTCACAATTCTTGTGCTCACTTTGGCAGCACATGGACTAAAACTGGAATACTCTGGAGAAGATTAGCATGGCCCCTGCACAACGATGACAAGCAAATTCGTGAAGTGTTCCATATTTAAAAAAACAAAATAAATAAAATACCCCCTACTTCGCAGACAGGGTCTCACTATGTAGCTCTGGCTGTCCTGGAACTTGGGTCTGTAGATCTGCCCCTGCCTCACAGATGTGAGGTAGGATTAAAGGTGGCATGCTAAACACTATCGCATGTGCCAAGCAGGATCTGAGGGACAGCTGAAGTCATCAAGAGATGGTTTGTGAGGAGGAGCAGCAGCCTGAGATGGGCTTGAGGCACTGAACTGGGCAGAGGAGCAGGGCCTTGGAGCAGCATGCACAGTGGACCAATGAGAGGCTGCTGCAGTAACGCAGGCAAGCCATGGGTGACGAGGGCCATCACTAAGATGGTACTGACTGGTTCACCGGCTTGGCACAAGTCACGCCATTCAGTCATGAGAACCGGGGAAGGCGCACACCTGAAATCCCAGCAGCTGAGAGGGAGAACAGGAAGATCAGGGTTTGAGGCCAGGCAGGACTTCCTGAAACCCTGTCTCATAAAAACACAAAAACACCAACTCAGCTTAAGTCACTTAAATTATTCCGATTTCCCCATCCCATCTGCATAATGAAGTAATTCTACACTGCTTACTACCCAGCTGCATGGTTTAGGAAAATGGTCTGAGCCGAGTCAGAACATCCTCTCTGAATTGTGGCAAAAGAACTTGTTTTGCTAGCTGGGATACTTGGTCAATAATTTTATTTATTTCCATCTTTCCAGACTGGGACTGGAGAGCCAGGTGGTGGTGATGCACACTTTTAATCCTAGCACTCTGTGAGCTGAGGCCAGCCTGGTCTACACAGAGGGCTCCAGGGCAGCTGGATGCTACACAATGAACGAGCTCTCTTAAGCCTAGTGTTTTCACTTGTGGAGACGGTGTCCCTATTTGTGTCATGTAGTGTTGAACTCACTTGTCGGGCAGGCAGGCCTGCCTCCTCACCCAGAATGTCTGGACTATACAGGGCTGAGTGTACACTGGGATCCTGGGTAAGTGACTTTAACCAGTGCCTGTAGCCCAGCACTCAGCACTCCTGGGAGAACTGTCCCACATAGGGGCAACTGTTCTGTGGCCTGCCTGCAACAATGAACTTTGTAAATGTAATTTTACTTTCCTTCTCGTTAGGGATGCGCGCCCTTAAAGCCTAACTTCAATCTCCTGAAGGGCATTTCTTAAGGCAACCGGGAGGCAACAGTCTTAACACCCAAAAGGCTGGAGACTGTACTCAGCAAAAGACCTTGGCACAAGGCTATGTGGAGGCATCCCAATTTCTGTTTCCATTAAAGAGGCTCCCCCGGGGCTAGGCTCTTAGTAAAGTTAAGCCCACAGTAAAGTTATTAACCCTTGGTAAGGCGGCATCAACCAGCCTTCTTAACCCTTACTAAACAAATTAAGCGCCTGCTAGCGTTAAAGCTCATTCCTTCATAGCAACGTAAACTAGTAATGACAACAACGCATGGACACAACACCACCTTCACATTGCTCGAGAGAGGGTTATTTCGTAAAGACAGTGCGTGCGTGCGTGCGTGCGTGTGGTGTCCCCCTTCAATGCGCACTTCGCGAGCCGTGCGGTACTTTGTCCCCTGTAGCCGCTCTTTGGGAAAGAATCCTCACTGCAAGCATCCCACCGGAGGAGAGCGGGTGTCTGGAGTCCAGGGTCACGACCCAGAAGCTCCCAGCTAGCTACGTGTGCGCGGGTGGCCCCACGCAGCATCGCAGAGAGAGGGGCCGGCCCCCAGCCCGGAGCTTTTCACGTTCTCGGCTGGGGCTTTGGGGGTGCAGGGGTCCTTCAACCTCCCCGCCGCGCCTGTGCCCGTCAGCCCCGAGGACCCGGCGGTCGCTAGCGCTCCCCGGGCCTGCTCGACCCCGAGCTGCAGGGGCCGCAGGCGCGCGCGCGGGGAGCTGAGGGCCGCGCCGCGCCGCCGCAGGGGTGTGAACGCGGGCTGCTCGCGCCCGGGCGCCGCGGGGCGACGACGGGACGGGACGGGACGGGACGGGTGCGGGCTGCCACGCGCCGCGGCCGCGGAGGGGATGTCGGCGTCAGGGAGGAGGGCGGCCCGCGGCTGGGGGGTCGGGCAGGAGCGGCCGGGGATACTCACTCAGCCAAGACTCCAGGCTCTCCCCTTCCGCCTCCGCCATATTGCAGCCGCCCGGTCCGGTCCTGCGGACTCAAACCTCGCGAGATTCTGCGCGAGCCGCCCCGGGGCGGGGCCTGCATGGGTGGGGGCGGGGCCTGCGAGAGCGGAGGGTCGCCGGGACGGGTCGGGTAGCGCGGGGAGGACGGGAGTGGTCCCTCGCTTCTTCCTCGTCAGGGAAACCCTGACCTGAGACCCAGTCTCGAGCAGACTGTGCGGCTTCTCGTCCGTAACCCGTCACTCGACTCAGGCGCGCTGCAGGCAGCCCCCTGAGGTCCTCGCGGCGAGCCAAGATGGCTGCCCCCGCGCTGCAGGTGGCGCGACGGTGGTCGGGGCTGGGCCTGGGAGTGAGGCTCGCCGCCCGCCACCTTCCGGGGTGAGAAGGCCGCGGGTGTACCCGCTGCCACCGCCGCTCAGGCCTCTGCGGGAGGGCCGGAGGGGGAGCGGGGAGGCCGCGCTGAGTCCTGGGGCGGGAGGGCCCTGCTCCGGGGGCGCAGGTGGCTGAGTCGAGCTGTTATTAAACGGGCCGGTTTGAGGGTCTAGCGGCTTGCCCCTCGCCTGACAGGTTGGGTGGGTTGATCTAGACCGGTTCTACCCCGAGGCGAAAGTGCGGCCCTGCTGCAGCTCCCACGACTGTCATTGTGCCCGGGCGGTGGCGGGAGGGCTGACCCTGAGCCGTGCTTGCAGAGGAGGGCGTTTCAAGGCCAGCTTCGGAGACGGCCTCTACCTCTTGGGACAGGGGTCACGGCCAGCGCCCATGAGGTTTAGCTTGCGGCCCCGGCGTTACTGCCCGTCGTCAGCATGAAGACAGACAAACGGGCTTATTGTTAAGTCAAGCTTGTTCATTTGTGGAGTTCTCGTCAGCTTCCTCCTCTCCCCGCTCCCAGAATAACACAGGTGAGGTGTAGCCGCTATGCCCCTGAGTTCAGGGATCCCCTGATCGACAAGGAATATTACCGCAAGCCCGTGGCGGAACTCACCGAAGAGGAGAAATACGACCAGGAGCTCAAGAAGACGCAGCTCATCAAGGCCGCTGCAGCGACGGAAACAAGTTCTGTGTTTGCAGACGCTACCATCAGGTGAGGTGGAAAGGCTCCTCTCCCCGTGGGCTGGAAGAATGAGCCCGGGGAAGGTTTCTGCTGAAGGGAAACTAAACATGTTTTTCTCCTTGAAGCAAATTTACCAACATGATGATGAAAGGAGGCAACAAAATACTGGCCAGGTCCCTCATGGCGCAGGTAAACCAGTTCCTAACGCTCTGCTTCCCTGTCTCATTTCTTTTCACCCTTAGCCTCAACACTAGACAACGGGTTTCTGTACTTGTCATTAAACTTTATTGCTGGGAGCTGGGAGTGGTGGCGCCCACGTTAAAGCCCATCACCGGCATCACCAGAGAGGCCCTTGATTCCAGCACTCAAGAGTCAAGGCTAGGCAGGTGGATCTCTGTGAGTTCGAGGTTCTGAGCCCGAGGCCAGCCTGGTCTACAGAGTGGGTTCCAGGACCTCAGGGCTGTGAAGAGAAACCCTAGCGGGGAGGGGGGGGTGGGAGAGGGCAGGGCTCTCACCTGTTCTTGGGTCAGTCTAGCAAAGCAGTACTAACTTTTTGCAAGAGGGTCTCACGGAGCACAGTCTAGCCTGGACCCTGGCGCATTCGTGAGTGTAACCCTTGACCTCTTGCCCCTGCTGCCTCCATGTGCAGCCTCCCCCTCCCAGCCGAACTGTCTGAGCAGCCTCTTCCCGCTCCCCGCAGACCCTGGAGGCTGTGAAGAGGAAGCAGTTTGAGAAGTACCGAGCTGCCTCTGCAGAGGAACAGGCCACCATTGAGCGGAACCCCTACAGGATCTTCCACCAGGCCCTGAAAAACTGTGAGCCTGTCATCGGGTTGGTGCCCATCCTCAAAGGGGGCCATTTCTACCAGGTGAGTGGGCAGGAAAGCACAGCAGCCCACGTGTGAAACTGGGGGGGGGGGAGGGCCCGTGTGTAATAACCCATAGACTGGGCATGGTCAGGGTCTACTCATCTGAGGCCCGCCCCGGGCAGAGGGTAGAAAGGCACAGAACAAAGTAACATCGTTGGGAGCCCACTCCCTCCCTCCCTCCCTTTGTCCAGTATTCTGTGTGAACTAAGCTATACACTCCTGATGGAAGACTCTTTATGTGCCAGTGTCTACAATAGAACTTGCCCCATGACCACTTGTCATTATTGAACTTGAACCAGCTGTCCCTATCAGAGCATTCAGTTGCCTCCGTTGGCTAATTTTCTCCCTGAGCAGCCATTCTGTCTTTAGTGTGTGGTAGTACTTGGCCATGCAGTGGGTCTCGTATAGGTGGTCATATTTTTAGGCACCCTTGGTCTGAGGGAGCCAGCTTGCCTCAGGCAGCAGGACTTTTCCCAGCTGGTGCTCGTGTCAACTTGGCAAAGCCTCTCTTTAGGAAGGGAAGTGTTTAATGAGTTTACGAGGCCAACGTTTCTTATCTGATGATGTCACCTGAGGTAAGGGAAAGTCTGAGAAGACAGGGTCCTGTCGTGAGGGCCCATCCCAGGACTGCTCTAGAGACAGTACGTGGTAACTGTCGGGCCCAGCTCAGCTCTGCCTTGTCTCATCCAGGTCCCTGTACCTCTGAGTGACCGACGGCGACGCTTCCTGGCCATGAAGTGGATGATCACAGAGTGTCGAGAGAATAAGCCTCGGCGGACACTGATGCCAGAGAAACTGTCAAATGAGCTGCTGGAGGCTTTTCATAACAGGGGTCCTGTCATCAAGAGGAAGCACAACATGCACAAGATGGCAGAGGCCAACCGAGCCCTGGCCCACTACCGCTGGTGGTAGCAGGGACTGATGGGACGGTCCAGGACACTCCAAGAAACCAGGCGGGCCGGAGCGATGGCCAGTGGTTAAGAGCACTGGCTGCTCTGGCAGAGGACCTGGCCTGATTCCCAGCACCCACGTGGAGGCTCACTGACCTTCTTTAATTCTGGTTCCAGAGAATTTGACACCTTCTGACTGCTGTGGGCACCAGGCATGCATAGTACTCAACCGTACATGCGGGGGAAATACCTATTCATAAACTACTACTAATAAAGTGATTTTAAAAAGGAAAATGACTTGAGCTACTACCCTGTTGGGAAGTTCTGGAAGAAACAAGGATGGAGAGGGCCTTTTGTGATGCAGTCTTAGGTCCTGTGAAGCCCTTTCTTGATTCTCCCATATTGACTGGACAGGTACAACTTGAGAAGTGAGGCTGCCCCTCACACAGTAAGGGCAGGTCTCACAAGGGCCATGTGTTGCTCAGTAATCCAAACTGGTTCCCCTGCCACATTCCACTGAGGCAGAACATGTCTCCTCAGAGACTTCCTCCAAGAAACTCAGGTCCCAGCAGCTTGGAGTACCCCTTTGCCTGTTACAAAAGGAAGCAGTTTGGTTTCAGAAAAGATTTATTAGAAAACTGTCACCCCAACCTGGTGAGGTGGTGTCACTCAAGGAAGCTGGCAGAAGGACACAGGCTGTCTCCACAGCAGTCTCTGTACAGAACATATAAAGCAGTTTCCCTTGTAAATCTGTGCTCTGCCCTAAGCATCCCACCAATGGCTATGACAGCCCATTTTACAGATGGGGAAACTGAGGCACCAGGGACTGTTACACCAGTGGTTACACAGTTCAGTGGTTGTTAGTTGCCCTTCCCTGCTGGGCCCAAATGGAAGTGGTGGGTTTGAAAAGGGAGCCGAAAGGACTTGGAGGAAGGGGGAAGCGGCCGTCTCCAGCAGGAAGACCCGGTTTGTTGGATTTCTCCACAGTTCCAGAGTGAGGGGAGGAAAGAACCACAGCAGTAAAGTCTACAAGGGTCTAGAGAGGCAAGGGTTCTGGTGCCAGCCTGAAAGGGTCGCACGCAGGAAGGTGAGTGCAGCCTCAGGCCCGTGGAGCCTAGCTCAGTCAGAAACCTCACTGTAATAATACTTATGGGCAGCAGGAGTGGTCTTCCAGCCAGCTGCCCGGAACTCGATCATCTCCAGCAGCAGCAGCCGGGCCAGGGAGCTAAGGCCTAATGGGAGCAGGAAGCCATCCCGGATTAGGACAAAGAGCTCGTCCATGCGCTGCCCATTCATCTTCTCCAGCTGCTCCCCAACGCGGTGCAGCTGTAGCACTAGACAGTCCACCTGCAGGGGCGGGGGAGGCCTCAGCCAGAGGGAGGGCCAGCCTGGCACACGGCATCAGCACCTGCTAGGCACCAAGCTTTGCCCTTTATGGTGGCTCCTTGCTTCTGATACCAGGGGGTATGGCCCACATCTTACCACAAAGAATTGCCCAGAGCATCTGACCAGGCTGATCTCAACTGTTGCTTAAGCCTACTCTTGCTTCATTGCCTGACTCAAGAGTTGGTGTCTGTGGCCATCTGTGCCCACAGCTGGCCACAGCTCTTGCCACTCCTAGTGTAACTTGGCTCCCCTACTGGTGAGCCTGAAGCCTTGGCTGCTGTGCCTTCTGGATGAATTCCAGGCACTGTGGTTTGTCTTGTAATTGGTGCAGGCCTTAAATGCCCCTTCTAGGGACTTGCTGGGGAGCACAGGCATGGCACTGGGACTCTGAGCCAGCAAGCCCCCCACAGCCTTTCGTGGAATGAATGGCCACTCACCTCCTCTTCCCTGCACAGACTCTCAGGCTGGGCCAGCTGGAACAGACAGTCATAGACAGGGTTAACCAGGGCCATCATGGGTATATTGTTCACCTGTGTGTGGGGAGGAGGAAGCGTTAGTGCCCGTGGGGACCATTCTGGCCTTGGCCTCGGGACACAGGCCATCACTGCTGCACAGGGCGACCGACTGTCCTTGCCTCACCCTCAGGTAGTCAAAGATGTTGCAGATAAAGGTGACATAGCAGACCCAGCTCTGCAGAGAGCGGGCTCGCAGCTGCTCCCGGGCCTGATACTCCCCCTGCAGCCGGTCCAGGAGCCCCCGACGGAAGACACTCTGGCCTGCTTGCTTACTCTCTGCCTGTGTGTGAGGCGGGAGAGGGCGGTCAGCAGGGCGCTGGTCACTCCACCCGCCCTAGCCTCTGCCTATACAAACTCCTGTGTCTTCTGCTGCTGGCCAGCCTGTGCCTGACCCTGGGTGCCAGACTCAAGGCAGCCCCCTCTCTGCCAGCCCCTCAACCTGGATGATGGCGTAGCACATCCGTCCTGCTTCCTTGCTGAACACACAATCCTGCAGGGAATGGTCCACAATCACATTGGCCACTTTCTCCAAGTCCACAGCGCCTGGATCTGGGGTAGAGACAGGAGCGGAGTCTAGAGCTGCCTCCATCTGCTAAGGACTGCAGGGGTTTGTTTTTCTGAGACCAGGCCTCAAACCCACAGACATTTGCCAGCATGTGCTTCCTTACTACTGGATTAAAGTTGTGTACCTCGACACCCAAGGAACCGAGATGGTTGTAAGAGAACATCCCATCACATGCTTAAAAGATAGCGTGAAAACCAGCCAGATGGCAATCAGGAGGTAGGAACAAGGAGGATCAAGAGGTAAGGGTTACCCTTAGCTACATGCAGAGTTCTAGGACAGCCTGGGCTACATGAGACACTGTCCCAAAAAAAGAAAGCTGGGCTGAGTGCTGCACACCTATAATCCTAGGTAGAGAGACAGGCCAGCCTGGTCTACATAGCAAGTTCCAGGTCAGCCAGGGCTACCCAGTGAGATTCCCGCTCTCTAGAAAATAAAAATCAGAGTTGGAGGTGTAAAGGGTATAATTTAGGCATCAAGCACTATGCCTAACTATGATGTGTGGAACCAAAGGCTGGGCACAAGGCAGCCAAACCAATAAAGGTGACATCTCCAAGCAGCTGCTCAAAACCGTGCCTACACCAGCTCTCATGGTCAGGACCCTGGCTGTCCCATCAGAAAACAGGGAAGTCGCAGCATGTCTCAGTGGTTAAGAGCACTGCCTTTGAAAAGGATCCAGGTTGGATTCCCAGTTCCCACATTGGGCTGTTCCCAGCTGCCTGTAACTCCAGTTCCAGGGAATCTCACACCCCCTTTGCCTCCACAGGCACTGCAGGTGCATGGTGTGTGCACATCCAGACAAGCAGGCACACACATAAATAAACCAAGTTTTATTGTTTTGTTTTTTCCAGACAGGAATTCTCTGTGAAAGAGTCCTGGCAGTCCTGGAATTCACCCTGTAGTCCAGGCTGGCTTCTATCTCACAGAGAAATCCACCTGCCTCTGCCTCCCAACTGCTGGGATTAAAGGAGTGTACCACCAATGCTGGACAAATAAATTAAATTTAAAAATATTTTTTAAAAATTATATACTGCCACGAGTGGCACTCACATTTAATCGCAGCACTTGGGAGGCAGAGGCATGCCGACCTGAGTTTGAGGTTAGCTTGGTCTACACAATGAGCTGTATTGTAGGCCAGCCAGGGTTACACTGATAGATCCTGTGCCAAATAAATAAATGAAGGATTATGAGGCTGGAAGAGGCCAAAGTATAAATTTCTTGGAATACACGTTTTATTTTCTTGGCGGTAGGCTGAAGAATGTAAACTGAATGCCAAGACGTCTACAATTTTTGGGGGGGTCTTTTGAGACAGTCTAATTATTTAATAGCACTGGCTGGTCTGTAGCTCACCATGCAATGTTTTTTTAGGTTATTCATTTTACATGTATGAATATTTTGTTTGCATGCATGTATGCATACCATGTGGTTCTTGGATCCCAGGAACTCAGTTACCAATGATTGTGAGCCCTTCGGGTCATCTGCAAGTGCTCTTTATATGTGTGTGTGTGAGTAGGTGTGTGTGGGTAGAGAGACTGGGATAGAGAGAGAGACTGGCACACTAGCCCTGGCTATCTTAGAATTCACTGTGGAGCTGACCACACCAGCCTGGAACTCATAGAGATCCACCTGCCTCTGCCTCCACAATGCTGGGATTAAAGGAGCCCACCATGCTTGGCTTGCAACCAGTGCTCTAAACTTCTGGCTCGTTTCCCCTCCCCCAGGCACTCTATGTAGAGCAGCTAATCCTCCTGACTCTGTAATCTGCCCGGATTACAGTTGTGTACCACTACATGGCTCTAAGTGTGCTCAAACCACAGAAGCCGTAGGCATGAGCCCTGCAGAGACGTCCCTAACGGGGTTAGTTTGGCACTAGACGGCCATTGCTAATTGTTTTAAGTCAAACTTCTGTCCTGAGTGTTACAATGGAAGGACATGGGGCCAGGCGATGACATATCTCTTCCAGCAGGCTGATTCCCCAACCTCTGTCCCCAGTCAGGAGCTCTGGACATTCAAGAGAGCCTGCTGACTGCTGAATGCCCGAATGCAAAGGCTTTAAAGGCCCATGCTCTCTCATGGGCACTTAAAGGCTTTATACGGTCTCAAGCAGGACTGTGACTCATTCTAAGAAATAATGGCCTAGATGTAGCTCGTCTTCCAGTTCAAGAGTTAGGTTGTGACTCACTCTCAGGGGGCCACAGGTCGCTGGGCATTGCCTGGCTCTGGGACTCGGCCAGCCCCTCTGCAGCTCTTGCCCAAACAGAAGGGCCGGTGGTAGGCTCACCTTTGAGTGCGGTCTTCAGCAGCTGCTGGGTCTCTGCATCAAACGACTGGATTTTATACTCGTCTCTACTGGCCTCCCCCATGACGATCTAGCCCCAAGCAGCTTTCACTGGCCTGAAACTAATGGCACCACCTGAGAAGCAAAGACCGAAGAAGGCTTCGCGTGAGAATCGCAGAGCGCTGTTTTCTAGCCCTGTAGGCACTTGGGTGGGGCAGGCCGGGGCGTGGGACAAGTGAAACTGGACTTTCTGTCGCCTTCAGTGGTTGGCTGAGAGCATCAAGTAGGCACCTGCAGCCCAGCCTAAGGCGTCTGCGATTACATTTGAGGAATGAAGCGGGAATTCACCTATGGCCGCGGCAGGGTCTGGGTTACCAGTCACTATCAGGGTAGATTCAGGGGAGCATATATACTGAACTGCGTTGTGGACAGGTAAATGTCAGACTCGCCCAAATTATCCAGCATGGAGAATTCTGGCTCAGTTCCTTTGCCGGCGTTGTCCAAGCCGCGGATCCTGACACCAGCAGGGCTAGGAGCCGTTCTCCCCGGCGTCTGCCAGTCCTATCCAGCCTATCAAAGCCAGCCCTGCAGCCGTTGGGCTCGGACTAGCCTGCGTGGGAGGGCGCTCGCGTCTCCGGGGCTGCGGCGCGCGCCCAGCGTCGTACCGCGCGGAAGCTGAGCTCAGCTCGCACGGAGGGAGGGCGCCTGAGCTGCTCGCCAGCGCCACCTGCCTGCCACGGCTCGCCCTCGCCTGCGCGCCCGCCGCCGCCCCGGGCCGCTCCCTCGCGGGGCGCGGGGACCGACTCGCACCCGACACCTGCGACATCGCCGCCGCCGCGCCGAGCGGAGCGCTCACCGTCCCCTGTCCCCGCCTCACCGGGCGCACCTCAGCCTCGGTTCTGAGCACAGAGGCCCTCGAGCGCTCGGCCGGACTTGCTCTCCGTCCCGCATGAAGAAGCCCTTGGTCTTGTCGGGTGGCACCCCGCGCCACGGCCACCATGTCCCGGGCAGGGCTCAGGTGAACTGGGTCGGAGACTGCCCGGACTTGCGGCGTGGGAGGAGCCTCTGGGAGGCGTGGCCTGCCCGGGAGGAGGGGCGGGCCAATAGCAGCCGGCTGGGATTCGGCTGGTTGAAGCAGGGGATGTGTAAGGGCTGGGGCACACCCTGGCAACTCCTCCAGCCATCCGGGCAAAATAAGTTTTAAATCAAAGGGGCCGTCCGAGAGATGGGGCCCCTGGGTCCTTCCCGGGGGGAAAGGAAGCATCGGGAGCATGGCTGTGGCCTGTCCACTCCACAGGCGCACAGGAGCCAAAGCCCGCGCTTGTTTTAAGAGTTGTCACAGCTGTCATGGTGATAGGTACAAAAGAGAATCCTCCTCTGTGCCAGCAAAAGAAACGCCGGGGGCAGGGGAAGGGGGGCAAATGAGGAACATGGAGTTTACTTCATATTAAAAAAAAAAAAAAAAAAGAAACTAAAAGATTCAGACAGCCAACTAAAGCCTCCGGGTTAAGATGGGACATCTAAGAGGAGGAGAAACAAACTCTGCTTCGGAAAAAAAAAAAAAAAAAAAGAGAGAGAGACACAAAAAGACAAAAAAAAAAAAAAAAAAAAAAAAACAAAAAACAAAAACAAAAAACAAAAAAACAAAAAAGTTCTAGGGGAGCAAACGACTCAAAGGCTCCTGGAAGCCCCTCCCTAAGGATATATAAGCAAGGAGGACTTGCTGAGATGCTCTCACTCTCAGGCCAAGATGCCTGAAAAAGGCTTGGGTCAGCAGCACAGCTGCGCGGAAGACGCAGCGATGAGCTGGGCTGCCCAGCATACTCCCAGGATCGGTCGACTTGAGGAGCCCGGACCAACTGAGCTGCCTGGCGGACTCTTCAATCTGCTGGGCGGCCTGCAGTCTGTTCAGCGTGCTCCACGTTCCCAGCTTTCGATAGCTGTCAACCTCATTGGTTCGGAGTTTTGGGTTCTTATTTTAATGATTTATTTTTATTTTCTGTGTATTGGTGGCTTGTCTGCATTTATGTCTGTATGAGGGTGTCAAATAACTGTGAGCTGGATCAGACAACTCTGAGCTGCCATGTGGGTACTGGGAATTGAACCTGGGTCCTCTCGAAGAGTAACCAGTGTCCTAAACCATTGCTCTATGCACTACACTAAATAGTGTAGTGAGATACACACTTGGCCGGCATCTGTGGCGCTGACCACGCCCATTGGGGGGTGGAGACAGGGGCGGAAGTGACATGTGGGGGGAGGAGACTAGGCCTGAGGAGGAGCCTGGGACTGCTCTCTCGCCTGCAGCACTGGGATATCCTTAGGAATAAGAACCTGCCTGCTGGTGTTCATCTGTCTATGTTGTAAGTTATTTCCTCCCGAATAAACATCTATTCGGCATATTTGTTTATCCTGATCCTTATTAAACCACGATTTCTGATGTCAGAAGTGGGATACGAACCCACGCCTCCATTCAGAGAAATACTTTTATACCAAACTAAAGTCGAGTGAGAAGCAGTAAATTCAATTAAGAAAATGCCTCCCTAGGATCAGGCGTGTGGGCAATCAAGGAGAGCATTTTCTAAATTAGTGACTGATGGGGTCCAGTCGAGTCTATTGTGCTTGGTGCTACTTCTGGGCTGGTGGTCCTGGGTTCTATCAGCGGCTGAGCAAGCAACACCCCCTCCCCCATGGCCTCTGCATCAGCTCTTGCCTTCAGGTTCCTGCCCTGCTTGAGTTCCTGTCCTGACTTCCTTCCATGATGATCAGCAATGTGGAAGTGTGAGCCAACCCTTTCCTCCCCAACTGGGTTTTTGGTTCTAGTGTTTCATGGCAGAAATAGAAACCCTTAGACAGGGAGTATCTTTCCATTAGTCTGCCATCTGTCCCTTCTCAGGAATAGATATTTGTTCACCTGTCTCCAGAAGAGGGTCACACAGCACTTCTGCATCCCCAAGCCCAGGAAGCCAAGAGCCCAGCCACCTCAGCTCTCCCAAGAGCAGCCTGGACCACCAGAAGGTTCAGCCTCTAGGGGATGGGTGCAATGGGACCACGGAGAAGAGAGACTCACCAAGGGCAGAAGTCCCAGCTTCCATGAACAGGGTCATGCCCAGCAGGCATTACAATCCCAGTTATTACAGGGGTGGGAATCCCACAAAGTTAAGGGGTCTCCCCTCTCTCCCCTCTGTCAGGCAGGAGCATGGTAAAGATGGCCGTTGCCTTCTATTTCTTGTCTTGTGGCCCTGACAAGTTTTTCCTCTTCATCTAGATACATGTGTCTGGATCCCTGGGTCTGCTAATGGGTGCCAACCATGTCCCCCCAGGCGGTTGGCCAGCCCCATCACTGGACTGCTTTGTGGCTCCATCACCTGGCCTGAGAATGCTGCCCTCGGCAGAGCTAACCCAGCTCCCAGTGAGGGGGCCACTGACAGGACTGAGGGCCAGGTTTGCCCACTCCTGTTGCTCAGCATATCCCTTCATTTCCGGTCTTCCGCCTAGAAGCTGGTTCTGTCCCAGTGTCCTCCTGTCCAGTCCTTCGGCCTGGGAGTTGAAAAGCCACCCACGTGGTAGGGTCCCCCGCTTAAACAGAAGAGCATGGCTGCCTCAGAGCTGCAACTTCAGCGACACCTGAACGGCCCCTGCCATCACCCTCCCTCGGCTGGGAGGTGACTCATGACGGGGGCTGCAAGAGCGACATACGGAATGTGATGTTTGCTTTAATGTCTATTAAATAAGTTGGTAGGAAAAACACCAAGTTGTGGGTTAGAATTCTACAAAGAGCCCAGTCCTACCCTCTGTATTCAAGCCATGATCTTACCAGGACTGGGATAGTTCTCCCCCGGCACTACAAAGCAGAGGATGGCTGACTCCTTTGGGGCTGGACAGAGGAGAAACAATGCCAGGCTCCTCGGTGGCCTGGTTTCTACAGCCAAGGGTTCCCTTCTCTGTTCTTTCTGAAAGAGGCCCTTCTGCCATCGGCCGTGGATAACTCTTCATGCCTAGGACAGCCGGCCTAGAAGGCCAACCAAGCAGCAGCCATCATCCAGTATGAGCTCAGAACGAGTCTGGTCGGGGGGAGGCGCCTCCAGGGCAGACCTTAGGCCCCTCCTGCCCTCACAGCTATCTGTCTTCTCTCCGTATGCAGTGGAAGAGGTTACAGAAGAGCTCGTACCAGAAGAACATGAAGCCCGTGGAGAGGGCAGCCTTCAGCAGGCTGGGGGACAGGCCCTTGAAGAGGCCCTGGGTGCCTTCATCTTGTAGCACCTGCTTGGTGAGGTCCAGGAGGCCCCTGTAGCTCCGCACCTGGGGAGAGGAGGGTGAAGGTTGATGAAAGAAACAGTGATAAAAATGGGGATTCACTCGGCACAACACGACTTCCGGTAAGTGCCCCGGGTGAATGAGAGCTCTGGGGGAGGTGAATGAGGGAGTGAAACTTCATTCTTGGGCATGCGGGCTGGCTTGGGCTTAACTGAGCTGGGAAGAGCCCTTCCTGGTGAGAGGGTACAGCCTGTGGCCCTGGTGGATGCAGTGATAGCCCTGGACCACCTTCCCCTCATTACATCTGTTCCCCTTGGGCACCAGGGCTGAATCTGGCCATCACTGGGTCTTCCCCAATCAGTGCCCACCTCCAGCCAGACCTCCCTGCCTTCGGGTGACACCACAGACTGCTGTCAGTTTGTCCTATGTCCCCAAGCCAAAGCTCCAAGAACATCTGAGGATGAGAAGGCCATCAAAAGCATCAAGTCCAAGTTCCAAGTCCTGTATTCAAGACATTTCAGCATTTGGCTCCCATTGGTCCTCTGAAAAGGCCCCTTCCTCCAGCCAGCCAGCCTAGTTTCATTAGGAAGGGAGCCTCTGTCCTGGGCTCTCGCCATCTCTCCTATCTAAATTCAAATGATCTCTTCAGGACACATTGGTAGATGGGAAAAGGTTACAAAGCCTTGCACTGTTAACTTTACTTTTGCTAAAATATACACCTGTGTTTATGCAAAGAAATAAAACTTCTTCAGGAAAACACGGACAATGTTCCAGCATATGTCGTCTTCAGCAAACTGAAACAGTTATTAAAATATTATAACATAGCCGGGTGTCGGTGGCACACGCCCTTAATCCCAGGACTCGGGAGGGAGAGGCAGGAGGTTCTCTGTGAGTTCGAGGCCAGCCTGGTCTACAGAGCCAGTTCCAGGACAGCCTCCAAAGCTACACAGAGAAACCCTGTCTCGAAAAAAGCCTAAATAAATAAATATTATAACATAGAACATATAACTGGTATACCACACAATCCTACAGGACAAGCAGGAATTGAGAGATTAATCACACTTTAAAGGAAATGCTCTATAAACAGGCAAGAGGGACAAAGACCCCCCAAACACAGATTATATAATGCCTTATATTAATTATATTAATATTAAACTTTCTCAATGCTAATGAGGAAGGATAAACAGCCACAGAAAGACACTGGACGATGGAAAAAACTTCTGAACTACTTCAAAGACATACTGGCCTCAATATGGAAACCAGGATATGTGTTACTTTGGGTCAGGGGTTTTTGTCT